TCGACATATTGTTTGATACAATTTGATTTAGACATATATGCGTTAATTCGGCGTTAATTATAGGAATCAAGTCTTGATAATTATCTTCTTTACGTAAATACAGCCAAAGTTGGCCCAAATCGGTGAACAGCGACGACTTAGACAGCATATCACTGGCGCCTGTGATGGCGTCGGTCACGAGTGTCAATAACTAAATCATAGGCAAAACATAAATATCATAATTAAGACCGTAATTGAGACCAAATTCAATGACTACAGACGTGTTCGCGGATGAGTTGCGTCCAGAAGTGTTGCCGCTGTACGGTATCGGCGGCCAGAGTGGCGGTAGAGTTGAACATCGAGTACCGCAAACACTCCATCGACGCCTTCACCACAGCATTGCACTCGTATTGGCTCTTGTTTTGGACAGTTTTCGAGATGCTTAAGAAGTAAACCAATTGTTTAAAACCCAAATCCAATCCAAAGAAAAAACGTGTCCAACAAAACACATACCCCTCTCTCATGAAGCCATAAAACTCTGTGTGAAACTCAACGAACGCGTCGGCGGACTCGTGTGGTATACGACTGAGAAGTGGCAACAGATTGGGAAACAGTGCGGAAGCGTTGCCGCGGCCGCCCTCCCGCACAATGGCCCGCAATTGGGGGCAAAACGCTTTGCGAAAGTTGACGCACTTCCAGCTGTCCTGCAAAAGCCATAAACAAATTGGTTAACTAAAACACTATTAAAACAATTAAATGCACTTTCAAAGCCACACAAATTCAATACCTCAATAGTGTTGACAGTGTGTAGAGCGCACTCCCATAAAGCCGGCGCCACCAACACGTCCTTCTCGTCGAGCGCTCCGAGCGTTAGGCCGCAAATCTTCTGGGCGTTCGCCCGGAACAGGTCGGCCGTACGCTGGGCTACGGTCGACATCAGCGTAAACCACGCGCTCCTTATCTATTGAAATGGCATTTTTAATCTTGTTTACAAATATAAGCAAATCATTGGATTAACAGTTCAATTACCAATGAATCCGGATATTTAGCAAACTTCCAAAACTTATTGTTATTGATTAACTCTTTAAGACTAGTGTAAAACGGGTCGTCATCGGCGGCCAACAAATCGGCGGGCAGTGCCGCCATCAGCGCTGTCAAGCCTTGCATAGAGTTGGCTATAAGTCGATTGTATTTGCATTTATTTTCGTCGGCTGTGGCCCTGGAGTGCAAAAAAAGTAAATTAAAAACATTTTAGTATTTAGTAAACTAATCACAACTTCAATATAAGTAAAACTAAACCACAAACAAATATGTTTTCATACGTTTGATCTCCTATGGTATCGATGGTCTGATTTAATACCATGTCTTTTATGTACTAAAAAAGTAACACAAAATCAATTAAATCAATGCACAAAAAAACAATATTCATTACATTAATGACGGGCTCTTTAGTGAAGGCCAATACGTCGGTCTTCTTTGTGGCCGGAAATGCTGTATTGAAGGCACGGGTGGCAGCGGTGGCCGCCGGACTGTAACCATCGTATTGACTCGTCAGCCATACGGGCATCAATTGCTTTAGGAATGGCGCTATGTTTCGGCCAACTTTGTGGGCCAACTGTTCGTGCGCTTTGTGTGTCGCCTCCCGAACCCTCCAGTCGTTGT